TCCGCCTCGTCCTTGTTGCCGTGTTTCTTCCGTTTGTGTTTCCTTCTGTTCTTCCTCTGCCCTGTAGTACTGCTACTCTCCAACCTCGAGTCATCAACACTATCATCGACCATGTCCTCCTTAGTGAACAGAGAACTGCTCCTTGGGGTGGCGAGGTGGTCAGTACTAGAGGTAGTAGGTGTAACACCATGGAGCCAGCAGCTGGCTGAGGAAGGGCTCTTGGACTCCACGATGGGTGGGAAATGGTCTTCTTCATACCGCAGGTCTGCGGCAGTCGATGAGTTCATCACTACCAAGCTAAGGAAGGCGTATCCAAGGCTCGAACTGGAAAGATTCACTTCATGTCCGCACCCAACCCGGCTAACACTGAGCAGAACACACCAAGAAAACTCAATGAAAATTCGCTACTGACATTCAGACATCCATACAGGGAGAAAGCAGTCAAGTTACTAACCATTCGGAAAAGCTATCAAGTCGTTGATGAGTTAATTCACTAGTAAGAGCCGCGAGCTCCATCCTGTCTAAAGGCCTGCATGGCGTTGTCGACTGACAAAGCCTCTTCGGCCAGGGGGGCGCTGCTCCTAGAGGGCCGTGGAGGTGCAGGAAGACCAACCGGGGCGGTCGGGGCCGCAGTCTGAACGAGGCGATGGGAAGGCGCCTCTACAGTAGCTACTGCACTTACAGATGTAGCATAACTATCAGTGGGTCTCAGAGCTCGAGGCTCCAGGACGGCCTTACTGCTAGTATAGTCGACATTCGGAGGTTGATGGGGACGGCGTGGCTTAGCGTCTCTCGGCGACAACTAACAACAAGCAGCAGCTCATCACCGACTCGTGGGCTGAGGGACTTCACCTTCCTCTCGTGGCCACTACGGGTCTCTCGACGAGGGGGAGCACCCTCAGTGGAGACCTGTGCAGCCGAAGGGGACTGTCGATAGTCTCTGTACTCAGTTGGAGTCCGCCCAGCGTAACCAGACATACCTATTCCAAGCAAAGAGCCCAACTACTACGCTAATGCTACACACTACTACCAGAGACACTGCCGTATGGCGATGGGGCTCTCTCGCGACGGAAACGGTCGTCGTGATGCGAATAAGAAACTCCATTATGATCGTAGTTATCGTAGTCCCCCTGTAGATGAGGCTGATAGCCCGGCCGAGGGCCTTTGGCGTAGTCCCTTGGGGGCGGCATCATCGAGGAGGACATCTGCTGCTGCTGGTGCTGCATCATATATCTCATTTGAGTCTGCATTTCGTGCAAGTAACGCCTCTCCATTTCGACCAACTCCTCCCTGTGCTTGGACTGCAGGCGGTCCTACGTTAGACTTGATCAGTAGGAGCAGCCTCCCATCACCTCCCCACCTCGATGTCCTTTCCCACCTTCTGCGCCAACTCCTCCATAGCCCGACCATCCTAACACCATCATAGTCGAGACCACAACAAGACGACTCACCTGCTGCGGTACCACAGGAGGAGCCACTGGTAGAACAGCCACGGGAGGCGCTGCTGGAGAGGGGACGGGGGAGGGAGGCGGTGGAGCTGCCACGCTCTCAGCCTGAGAATGCACTCAACAGCAGCCACCCATGGATGCCATCTACCTTGCTCTTCTCATTCTCAGCTACCATCTTCCTAAGCCTCAGCACCTCCGCCTGCAGATCACTATAGCTGCCCTTGGGAGCACCATCCTCTGCAGCATCCGCCTCGACCGATGGAAGCTCCTCAGTAGGAGGAGCATCCTCAGCTGCCTTGGTCTCCTCCTGGTCCCACTTCTCCTGCTGCTTCCAGTCACCTCTCTCATCCTCTCGCCTGAGACAACTCATGAAAGCCATTGTTAGTATCGTCGACCACTACTGATCAGAGCTCCATTTCCAGTTCTTTCCCTCTCCCTTGGACTCATCACCCCACTTCTTCTTGTCATACCCCCTCCCCCCACCGCTCTTCGGTTGCCACTCAGCCGAGTCCCCAGTGCCGCCCTCAGCATCTCTCCAGCTTGCACCCGCCTTATCGTTCCTCGAGCCCTTCCACTTCTCCTCGCCCTCGGCCCTAGAGGACTCCTCTTCAGCAGGCCACTCTTCCTCCTCATCCTTCTTCCACCCACCTCGCCATTGCTTTCCCCCATCTGAACACAGTAACGTCGATTGTAACCCGTGGCCATCCTTATTACTATCCTCAGAGGCAGACCACTTGTCTCCACCTTTCTTCCATCCCCCAGCCTGCTGTGCCTCACCTTCACCTGAAAGGCAAGCACCTCAAAAAGCCCTCATAAAAGCAGGCAGCACCTTCGTCCTTAGGCCAACTCTTATCATTGTGTTTCCACGACTCTTGCTGCTGTTGTTGTTGGTAGTGACCATCGTCCGATGCCTTCCAATTGCCGTTCTGGCTCCAGCTCTGATTGCCACCATCGTTGCTGCGCTTCCAGTCCCATCTAAAGTATCCGATGCCGCGTCGTGACGAGTGCTGCCTGTTATTACTGCTCGTCGGACTGCTGTTGCTGCTGCTCCTTCTCCCGTTCCTCCCTCCTCTCCTTCCACATGACTTGTGCATACCTAAACCACATCACATCCAACCATCCCACAAACCTTGTAGTCTCTATTACTGGCTCCTATACTTCTCGAATTCTTGCCAAAGAGCATTGGTCTCAGCCAGGACTTTGGTGAGCTTTTGCTGGAGGTTGATCTAACAGTGACCGACTGCACAGTCATCCGAGCAGACCAACAGAGTTACTTACCTGCGTCTCCGACATTCTCTCATATTCCTCTGTGAACTCCTCCAGAACTTTGAGATCGATGTTCTCGTCATCCTCTTCTAATTGCTGTGTAACCTTCACCACAGCCTCTTTAACTTCCTCCAGAGTCAAAAACTGAATGCTAACAATCCAAGCTCTGTCCCGTCTACAGCGATCTGACCTCCCCTTCATCCTCCTCATCAGCGGGGGCCTCTTCCCCCGTCCACACCTCATATTCCTCCTGCGCCTGCTCTTCGCCATCATTATTCTCTTCCTTTTCGTCCACCAACTCCTGCTCGTCCACAACAATAGCATCATGAGACTCATCGTCGTCTCGAGGGGCTCCTGTCCCTTCGGACTCCTCTCCTTCTGACGGGGACTTCAGCTCGTCGATCGTCCCGTTCGGAAGCCCCATGTCGGCAACAACTTCCTCATCCATACCACCATCAGACTTCTCTTTCTTCTCCGACTGGGAGTCCACAGCTTCCTGATCAGCACCGTAATTTTCGACAGGTTTCTCCATCTCTCTCTGCTCTAAGGCAGCACTTGTGTCCTTCTCTTCACTCGCCACCGCATTCTCATGATTAGTATCATCATCAGGCATTGAAGGGACCTTATTCTCTCCTCCCACCAACTGTTGACTATCTTCGTAAGAACCATCCACCGAGGCAACGCTGTCACACTGACTCTCGGAAGCTTCCACAGCAGTACTGTCAGGCCCAGTAGCATGCTCCTTGGGAATGGCCGTCTCCTCTTGAACAACCTCACGGTCAGCACTAGCTGCGATAGTCTCTGCCGCAGCCTTCACGACCACGTTCTCGGCGATTTCCTCCCTAATTGGATCCTTAATGTCAACCTCGGCGACAAGAGGCACATCACTGGTAACAAAGGCGACCTCCTCCTCCTTCTCCTTTTCCTTTTCAATAGGCACACTATCAACAGGGTTAGCCTCAGAGGTGAGCATGGGCCCAGTAGGTGTGGGTACAGCACCAGGCATGTAAAAGTCAAAGCTGGCCAACGACCCAACGGAGACAATGTGCACAGACCATCACTATCGACTCGATTTCAATACAATGAATGCTACCGGCTGGGGCACCTATGCCACAGCTTCAAGATATGCATTAAGACGATCAATAATGCGATAGGAAGATCTATTCGGTCTGCATGACTAAAGTCACTAACACAACATCGATGAATTTTGATTTTGGCTTGGGGCAGATATGCCACACCAGAACGGCATGACTGTCGCCAATCAGAGTGAACAACTCCGCAACATAGGCGTCGCTTCCGATGTGGCATACCTGCCCCAATCGAGATAGGCCTTTAGAACGTGTATATAGAGTACCAAGGCTAGGCCTATCAGATAGGTCAGTAAGACGAGTATGGAAGAGCAGATGAAATGTTGAAGAGACCAAGTCATGGAGGGCACTGACGAGTCGTCATGACTTGGTCCTCTAGAGAGTACGTCGCCACTCTCTAACAGTGTAAGGGGAATTATGCACAAGGTCAACTACATGTGTTGATGACAACATGAAAATTCTGAGGAAATTTTTACTGGTTTATGTAAACTTCTACCCGAGTGAGAAGTGTGTAAATTTCTGCAATAAGTAAGAAGCGCCTGAGCTCAGAAACCGAACATAGACTGCTGTAACCTAATATACGCAAGCACTAGATTAACTTGCGTTATTGCTCTCACTTGCGAGTCCTCAACGCTACTTCGCAAACGGTTCTTCACTTCCGTCTTCTTTTTCTTCTGCGGTCTCGCTACTTCCCATGCTTGTCAAGCAGTCTGCAGTCATCTACAGGAGGCTGAGCCCACTCTGTAGGACGTTCGCCTCGTGGACGGACCATGAAATCGTCGCCAGTAAGGCTCCCTCCTCTAGGCATTCCTGAGCGTATCTAGTGTTCTCAGAACGCCTCGACCGCGAGTTTCCTGCCGAAGACCCGAGAACCGTCAATACTTATCGTATTAGAACACTGGCATTGGAGTTAGATGACTTCATAGATGATCCCAAGGCAGTGCTGAAAGAGAAAGATACGATTAGTATAGTTGGCCACTGGAAGCATATGTGAGTTCCCGAATGATACTCCTTGTTGTATGAGATTATACACCAACTTGTTACCATTGTTATCCATTTGAGCCTGCTATGGTATGAAATCAGTAGATTTGGTTTGCTTGGGTGAGCTTTCATGCGCCTCTCTTAGATACGACGCTCGTTTACATGCTGTTGCCTACCCAGAGATGGCCGAGGACAAAGAGTCCTGCCAAGGAGAATCCTCGAGCTGGGAGCATGACCGCATTTCGGTAGAGAAGGATCCGTCCAAGAAGGTGGCCGACTTAGCCGATGCCAGCACTATTCGTCGAGCAAGGGAGGTCGACAGGGCCATGCAGAAGGATCGAGCTCATCGTATCAAGAACTAGAAAATATTTTTTCGTTGCTCCAAGCCGTTTGAATATCATGGACATATCCGTTATCATGTCGGCAGGTGTCGAGTACTCTGCTGTGTAGTATTTCTTATTGTGACGATCATGATCATCATAACACTTTTCACAATAGTCATTATTGCCCTCATACAGGGGATGCCAGTCATTCCTACTCTTTGGTAAACGAAATTTGTTGCTCGTGACGAACGTATTATGTTGGGTTGTAGTCGGGTGGAGATTGGCGTTACACAGGCTAGCCTTGGGTCATGGTTTCAGGAGCCGGAAAACTCGTCAAAGGCGCCGTTGTAGCCTTTCCATGTCTTGTTTCCTATCTAAGGCTAGTCTACCTCTGGTCACCAAGAGCCTGGATTGCTGCTACTTCTCGTCTCACTGGTATCCCCAATTTAATATCATGCACTTCTATCCGATGGTCAAGCCAGTCGAAGATCGAGGAATGGATGACACTGTCTTCGAACTACGAGAAGGTGGTCCTTGCAGGCCCGATGGGAGCGAAGGCTGAGATGCTCGACTACCTGTGTACGGAACCCAGCGTTCCGCGGCCCTGTCCAATCGTTATTGAGCTCACTGGCTGAATCCAGGGAATGTCTTCGCTGATGCTTCTCAACCACGATGGGGACGTGAACCGCCCGTGGTATGAGGAAGCAGAGGTAAACATCTCTTCCATCAGTACTCGTGCCTCATGAGCTAATGGAGGCTACGTGCGCACTATAGGAAGGACTTGGTGGTGGTAGGGTTGATGATCTTGAACCGTGCAAGGCTCTGCCCCGCTGCGCTCGCCACCTGTACCCTTCTCATTAGAGGCAGCAACGCCTTTGACGGTCCATCTTGAACGGATAAGACACCGATATCTCGAGCCGGGCTGGGAGGAAGCCCTGAGCCTGGCTATAAGGTGCCCTCTGTCAAACCATGCAGATTGGAGGTTGTCATCATCTGATGTGGAGCAGTATTGACATGAACAAGCTGGCGTTCATGGTGCCAGATATGGATGGTGCTCTAAAGTGTTTAAGTGGGTGAGAGACATCGTCATTCAGTTTGGTCGAACCACGAGCCGGACAGGCGGAAACGGCGGAGCGGAGTTTACCCTCCTGGACTGCAGCGATGAGTATCATGTATCGTGAGTATTGATGAAAAAGGTTTGTTATGGTGAGTATGGTTGAGTCAACCAGGTTGACGGTAAAGTATCGAAGGCTATACTATTGCTGCTTTGGCTGGTGTTAAGGCGAGTGCAGATCGAATGAGTACTGCCGCTAAGGGGCTCTTCACTCCAGTATGTGAAGGGAGGTTAATGCGGATCGATGAAGTCTCATGTCCCTCTCGGGGTACCCGTTATTGTGCCCTACTTGTGGAGCTGAGAGACTGTTGGCAACAAGGCGGAGGTCGACTCGGGGATAAAAGTCGTTTACATAATATCTTTCTGAGTGCAGTTTCCAAGCTATTGGGATTTTTTATGTTTTCGGAGTCTTTTTTGTCAATTATTCTCGTCAAAGTGAAATTGCTTGTGGGAGTAACTGCGAGTGCCGCGAGCTCGGCAGGAGTACTGTTTTCACGTAGAGTCATGCTGGGCACGTGGACTTTATTACGGTTATGGTCACCCATCTCGGCTCATATAGGGTTACCCTGGACGCTGTGACTTGGAGTAATGTAAGCCCAACATGTATGGATCCTGGGCAGTGTTCGATGTGGCCTCTTCGAGAGGCCCCCCTCATGTGCTCTAGAAAGGCACACTGAGTGTAGTGGACTGCTCCTGCATATGGAGATAGTGATTCAGTCGGCCTTGCATTCGAGATCCCCTACTTTGGAAGTGATTGTAGCTTAGGAGTGATGGAGCGATGTTCCTCTCAGCCGTGTGGAAGTCGGCAGTTTTCTGATGATTTTTTTCTTAACAATTGCAATATTCCCATCGTTTATTCACAGTGCCGTGCCGAGATCGGGCAAGACTGCGATTGGCGAGCTGAAGCCGGGAAATGTCTATCACCCCAACGCAGCTGACCATCGTGCTGACTCTGGCAGCCTTGATGACAGTAGGCGAAAGATACGCCTGTTGCGCACAGCGAAGATTTGCCGCCGGGTCTCAGGGCTGGTGGAGCACGTTGTGACAACAGCTGAGGGCGGGTCGTTGGAGAACTGTATAAGGGAGGCTGAGGGCTTCTCGAAGCGGTATGGAGGAGGCCTTACTCTGGGCGATGAGAAGGGTGAGTGTGCCTCGCGAGTTGATACTGATGAGTGATACGCTCGAGTGTAGCATGTAACTCGGTTTCAATGGTGTGGCTCGCGGGCTGCTAGGTCTCGTAGGATGCGGACATGTTCAATTCGATAAGTTCCTTTCTGGGCTGGAGGAGCTACTCAAACTCATCATTTACATAAGACAAACTCATCTGAATGCATTTATTTTGAGAGTGATTTCAATCTACAGCATTTCCCGCCTCATGTTTCCGACTTGCGCACTGTTATTTCCGTTATTTTTCTGGGATGCACGAATCGGGCGGATATTACAATGACCCTAGTCGGAAATTTTCATGCGGTATGTCGGATATTGCTTGTGACCGAATCGGATAAATGAGTGCGGGTCGGAAATAGTTGTGACGCATCGGATGTTCGCATGCACTTACTCGGAAATAACAGTGCGCAAGTCGGAAACATGACCGGGAAATGCTGTAGTCCATTCTGCAGGTTGTTCCTGTTACATTATATAGTGTATTATATGGATTAACAAGGATGGTTTTACGCTGGTCGTCTTCACTCCTGTGCTGTTGTCAGGAGAGATCATCTCTTCTACCGTGGCCATGACTACGACCCCGAAGGATCAAGACCGCCTGCATATCCTAGAATTGGGCTCACATAGTGGCGATGGGACTCTGAGGTTTCTGAGTGGGGCTGGGAGGAGGAAGGTGTCGATTGTCTCGGTCGAGGAGAATCCTCATTGGCTTCAACTGGGCAAACAGGTGAGCTCGTCGACCGTCGCTACGCCTCAGCGTCCCTCAGCTGGTCTCTCACGCCATTCGAGATCCTTCAACCGGCAAGGCCAGGCATAGCATTCGATACAGGGCGATGCTTTTGCCGGACGATATGACGGATCTGATCGAATCTCTCCAGAGTTCAGGAATGGCCAAAGCTGATATCGTGTTTATGGACCATGAGCCAAGTCACTTCAAACAGGTAAGCGACTACCAGTATTATGACGATTCTTTTATGGGATTGTCGTGGTCGCACACCGACAATTTTCAGGACTTGGAAAAGATGATAGAACGAGGCTTCGCAGGGCCGGGCACGGTGGTCATTGTGGACAACGCAGGCACCAAGGCTGCAATGATGAGGGACTATCTCGACCTGGTTCAGGTAGAGGGAGCAGTCTGAGGTGTTTCACTGTGCGGGGGTTTTAGAAAGCAGACGCTATTTCTTCACCGACCGGTCTGGTGAGATTCAACACGGTCTTGCGAAAGGTGTCAAAGCCGTATTATGACGCATTGGCTGTTTCCCGGATAGAGGAGGCCTCCTCTGAAGAGCTATGATTGTCGTTTTCTCAGCTAGTGTGTTTTTGCATTGAAGTAACAGGCATGGTG